GGGGTGGGGGTGGTGATGAGCCTTGATGAGGGGACCAGGCCCCTGCTTCCCTGGCCCACCCCCGAGCCGGAGCCCGCACTCCTGGGCTGTCCTAGCAGTCGGCCTCCTGTGGTGCTGCCCGTCACTGATGTTAGGCCTTACCCATACACCTGGCACACCCATCTGCCTCGCCCGGGAGGCTGGGGCGCCCCCCTGTGGCTCTGGCAGATAGTTCTAGGAAGCACACTGGGGCTGTGCAGTTACCTTCGGTATGACAGGCAAGGCCTGGGTTGCATTAGGACTGGCTGCTGGCCCATCACCGGGAAAGTTACTGCATAGCTCCAGTGTGCTGCCATGGGAAGCCAGTCTGTCTTTCTGTTATATTTCCAGGGTGCCCATTGCTGTCGTACCTACGAACCGTGTTCAAGTGACAGCATAGGCCTCATAATCCCGTGTTACATTGTTTCCTCTGTGCTTGCCCAGGCTATTGTAATGGCAGACTTTCCTTGCCCGTCACTGACATTGCTGCCTGTCAGCCAGCACATGCTGGCATTCTAAGTATAAGGAGCTGCAAGCATCAGCCTTGTCCTAAATCCCCTCTGACTTTCTGCCAGTGAACAGTGCAGTAAGCTGGCTTGTGTGCACCACTACACTCCTAGATGGCGTATATGTTAAAGATGCTTATGTGTAAGCATAACCTGAACTCCGAGCCCCATATTGCACCATGCCAGACTGGCCTCATAGGCATTGCTGGTCATTATATAAAGGTCATTTATTTCCACATAAATCATTCCAATGACCTTGGACCTGAATGGAGGGTGGGGCTGGGACTTGCACGTGTGGCTTGTCCAAGCAGCAGCTCACTGACCATAACACATTCCCATCCGACAGTGCATCTGGCTAAGCATTCAGATGTATTGGGATCTTAGAAAAGGGGGAAGTAAGGAGCAGGTGGGTGTGGGTAGACAGATCCCTCATCCAAGGGAGTGAGTGCAAGTGTGGAGCCATGGAAGCTGTAGAAGAATGGACAGTGACTGGCGCAGATGTTTGCACTCGAAAGCTATTGTGCCAAAACCTGTTAAGTGGGAGGGCAATGGGGGCCAAACTTTAGATGACATGACTCTAAGCCTGTCAGTTTGTGTGTGGCAATCCAACAGTGTATAAAAATAATTAGTGACACAGTATAAAGGGTAGTTCAGGTTGTCTTGCACATGACATACTGACTAGTTCCTTCATATGCAACTTGTAAGAGTAGCTAACAGAATGAAGATGAACTCCAATGACAGCAGCGAATCAGAGAATGATACTGAGGAAGAGGAGGAAGAAGAAGAGTGTGCAAATGAACACATTAAGAGACTGGGTGGAGGAAGTAAAGATATGCAGCAGGATGGCACTCCTCAGGAGGGAGCTTTTGAGACAGAGGACACATGCCTAGGGCACAAGAGTTCAGATGGGAAAAGTGATGTGCTGAGTGTCTCACTGATCCATCTGGAAGAACAAATGACAGAAGACTGTGAAGCAGAGACCACTCCAAGAAAGAAAAAGAGAAAACACAGGTGAGTTTCCTCATCGCCTTCCTCTGCCTTCTACTTCCTTGTGTTCCTCAGGCTGTCACCTAGGCCTACCGGACCTCACTGTCCCACTAGACCCAAAGAGGAGCCAGCAAAGTCTGTGTGGCCAGCTGCCCCTTGCGTTTTTATTTACTGTCTGTTTCAGGGGCACTCAAAGGCCACTTATCTCAGGATGAAATTACATTTCAGGTGTAATTACTGGGGCTGCCCACTACCCCGCACCCCTAGGCTTCCAGTCATGTGCCAGGTGTACCACAACTCAGAAGCAAACACTGTAGATGCTTCAGCATCTGGGCCTTGTAGGCACTAGCCCTGGTGGTCCCAATAACCACTCAGAAACATGGCTAATGTGAAAGGGTATTTTTCTAGGGCTGGCAGGAAAGTTTGCAGATACCTTAGCTATAGAGACTTGGGCAGTTAGAATGCAAAGTGTCTGGTAGCGGTTCTTGTTTGGGCCCTGGGGCTGTCCAGTCAGGCGTCAAGACTCGTCAGTATGACAGTAAGACACAGGAGGTAATTGTGTGCAGCAGTTAGTTTATGTTAGTTCACCTTCTCTGCTCAGCACTATTGAGGCCTCAGCTGGAGCACTGTGTCCAATTCTGGGCACCAAACATTAGGAAAGAAGTGGACAAGTTGGAGTGACTCCACAGGAGAGCAACAAAAGTGATAAAAGGTTAAGAAAAACTGACCTATGGGGAAAGGTTAAACAATGTGTGTTTAGTCCTGAGAAAAGAAGACTGTGTGTGTGTGTGTGTGGTGGGGGATCTGATCACAGGCTTCAATTATGTTAAGAGCTATTATAAAGAGGATGGTGATCAATTGTTCTCCATGTTCACTGGAGATAGGACAAGAAACAATGGGCTTAATCTGCAGCCAGGGAGATAAACTCCAGATTAGGCTTCCAAGGGAGGTTGTAGAATCCCCGTCATTGGAGGTTTTTAAGAACAGGTTGGACAAACACCTGTCAGGGGTGGTCTAGGTTTACTTGGTCCTGCCTCAGCGCAGAGGACTGGACTAGATGACTGTTTGAGGTTGTCTCCAGCCCCCCATTTTTATCTTCTTAGCATATGCACAACATGCCTCAGGTGGCCCGTGACCAGCATTCATCATCAGTTTGGTCCACTGATTGGATCATTAGCTTTCCGGCTTGGGCTGGGTACTGACGGGGAGTGCGTCATGAATGCTGATCCATGACCCCAACTTAGTCCCTGCGGGGTGCCCCCTAGAGTCCAGTCTCTGTTCCAGCCAATAGGTGCTTGCAGGGTTCCAAGCCAAGCTCAGTTAGTGGCTCTTATTGGGGCCCCGGTGCCCTGGCTTCCTGCCCAGCTACTGTTCCTCCATGAGTACCATACAGACCTGCACACAGCTGTGTCATCTGGCAGTCTCGGCCTGTTCCACATGTGTCTCTGTCCACAGAGTCTGGGGCTTCTCTCCTGCCGCTGTGCAGCTCCCATTCCCAAAACAGAACCTGGCCACATCCTAGTTCAGGACCTGCCTAGGGGAAAGGGAAGTGCAGTGGGATGGGGCTGATGGGAATTGTTGTTTCCTTCTTTGGGAAGCCTGTGTGATGGATCTGCATCCAGTCAGCTCTGGATGGACCATTGCATGCATGTTGTGACCTGTCAAGGCTCTGGCTGCCACGTCTATGCTGAAGATGAGGGCAGTTGCAATCTGCTCTATTTTATGCACATCAAAGGCCAGATTGCAAAAATTGTGCACACAGTTTGTATGTGCAAATACAGCTGTGTGCACAATTGCAGGAAGTGTATGAACAACTAACCAGTTACCTGCTTGACTGACAATTGGTATGCATGAATTATGCCGATGGGTTTTTGCACAAGCAGTTCTGAAAATCTGAGCCTGAAGTGGGCAAAGTTTGGGCATTACCACTGGGGCATCAGGGAACACTTTTTACCTAATTTATTCTAGACCTTCTGTCCTCAAATGCAAAGGGAGAAACAGATATTATCCCCTGTAAGAAATGTTCAGTTAGCTTGTTTATTCATATGAAAAACAAGCATTTGGTGAGTAGTGGCCAGGGAGAACGTGTGGGCCAGGTCTCAGCCACTTACCATCAAACACCCTTCAAAAAACAGCAGACAAAAGTAGAATGAATAATGGGCAGCTCTGAATTTTGGGGCCTGGAACCTATTGGGGTCTTTGGGGGATGTTCAGAATCAGAGAAGGAATCTCGAGTCACTCAGATTCCCCCAATGTGGAATTCTGAATGGGAACCCACCTTCCATTCCTTGCTCCAGGCCTGTCTGCCCTGTGCTGGGACCAGAGCAGGTTTGCTGAGTGCTTCTGTGCAGATAGACATCGTTAAATCACCATGGTTGCACAAGTTGCTGTGTATGGGAAACCAAATGCACATTGTAGAGAAGTTTGGGCTGTGATGACATCATGTCTCTGGGATCTAGAATTCACAAAACAAAATCTGCAAAATGTTTCTTTAGTTCTGTCATCCTAGCTGGTGACCGGGGCATGTTTGCACTGAGCCATTGCTTTCTCCTCTCTCTCCATTCCAGGCTGCTGTCTATCAACCTGACCAACTGCAAGTATGAGAGCGGTGAGTGGAAGGCAAGCCAGGGCTCCTGTTCAGACCATATCTCCCCCACCCACCCCCCGGCTGGAGAAGGCTGGTAGCACTGGCTTTGGGCTGCGCAATGGCCTTAATGGATTCATTGCTGTTTTGGAAGTGACTTTTGCCCTTGTGAAAAGTGCCAGCTTGACCAGACTTCAGGCTGAAGCTCTCTCTGCATTTAGTGGGTACAGCTCTGGTCACAGCACTGGGAGCTTCCCACCCATGCTGGCTCTGCCAGTGCGTCTCACCCCTGGTCTGGAGAGCCCTACCCCTCTAGGGATGCCAGGGGAGTTTAGTCTCCATAGCACATTCTCTACCGAGATTGCCAACAGGGGCTCAGGTAGTGCCAATTGTGAGGCAGATGTTTGCAGTGTTGACGCTCGTGCACTGAAAAGTACGTACTCCTTTCACTTACAGTAGGACACTGAGCAGCCTGGGATGGCAGTGATTTGCATATATGACTGGCCTGGGCTGGATCTGTGCAGGAGACCCCTCCCCTCCCCTCCAGCCAGTGCCTCCAGGAATGAACTTTGGGCAGGTGGTTTAGGATTCTCACCTTACTCCTCTCTGTGGGACGGAATGGTGTTAGAATACATATGACAGCATCTCTGTCCAGGTGGCTATTGGCAGTTATTGGTTAATGCCAATTATACACAAGTTCCATATTATGGAGCACAATCGCTGTACTGAAAGTTACAGTCTCATCTGCTGTGGAGAGAACACAGAGTTTCTAGATGGAATGGTGCGCACTGGATGCCTCCCCTCTGGGAGGTGCCAGATACTATGATGATGGGCACCTTCTAAGAAGCTGAGGTGAACTGGGCACCTCCAAAGATCTGGGGTCAGGCCTCTGCCCCCTTTCTGGGACCACCAGACAAATGCGCTTCCAGGGTTGACATATTTCATTAGTCCAGGAGTGAGATCCAGTGGACAGTTCAGCTAAGGGAGGGGTAGGTTCCTTCTGCTTTCCCCAGGATCCCACCCGGTCTTTCTCCCCTTTGGAGGTGTGGGTGGAAGTCCTGGGGCGTTCCTTCCTTTGCCTGCCTCTTCCCATCTACTTCAGCTTAGAGAGTGTGAACTCTTGGGGCCCATCTCCCATGCCCCACTTGGAGATGCCTCTTGCCATGTGCTTGTTTTGCTACAGTGCGGCGTGCTGCCCGACACTGTGGCCTAAAAGAAGTGGGGGAGGATGAGGAGTGGACGGTGTACTGGACTGACTGCTCGGTCTCTCTGGAGCGCGTCATGGAAATGAAGAGGTTTCAGGTAAAGACCCCTCCGTGGACAGGCCACGAGTGGGAGGAGCTCAGGCAAGGAGGACGAGGCAGGGAGGAGTTGGTTGGATGTCATGTGGTGCAGTGAAGTAGAGTATCCAAGGTCAGCATCGGTGCGACCCTTCTGTTACCTATGGGACAATCCCCACAGCCCATCCATGTCTGTACCAGGGAGAGCAGGATCCCGGCAGCACCCCGAGCCTTTGCCCCATTAGTACCCCTGAGGTGGTGCCATCAGCCACAGGTTGAAGGACAGCTGGAGAGCTGCCATCCTCTCTGTTGCTGAGTCCTTGTTCAGCTCACGGTTCTTGTTGATAGCTGCTCCTCTCCGTGAACCATGCTGTTCTTGGAGAGGGGAAGCCACAGGTTTGAGAGAAGAGTGAACACATCTCACGCTGATGGGGCTCAGAGTAAGCACTAGCAGGGCAGCTGTCTTCCTGTCCTGTTCTTCCCTGAACTGACTCACACTGGCTCTGAAGGGTTATCGCTTCTGCTCCTTTGGCTGACTTGTCCTTTCGGCTGCACATTGTTTCAGAAAATCAACCATTTCCCGGGGATGACAGAGATCTGCCGGAAGGACCTGCTGGCCCGCAACCTCAACCGCATGCTCAAACTCTTCCCCAAGGAGTACAGCATCTTCCCCCGCACCTGGTGCCTGCCTGCTGAGTGAGTGACCAGCACTGCCAGGCCAGCCAGCAGCGGGACAGGTGGACGCTGTCTGCAGGGAAGGGAGGTCAGGGTAGTGGGAACCACTGAACTTAGCTTCCATGGGGAAAATGCTTTCTGGAGGATCCGCTGCTGACTCTGGGCCTCAGTAGCCTTCCTTGGGATGTAAGAAGATGTGGCTCTGTATTTAGAGAGTCCCAGATCTCGGAATGTAATTGCGTTGTATTAGGTTGTGGAATCGTTCTCCTCAGGGAAGGGGTAGGAGCCCCATCCCTAGAGGGATTTAAATCTGAATTGGACTAAGCCTCGGGAAATAGACTGCAAAGGAATCCTACCCTGGCCCTCAGTGGGCAGAGGGATGAGCCTAAAAGGTCATTTTTGCCTCTGACTTCTGTGATTCTGTGGGATTTCCCCTGACAGTCCATGCGCACCCCTCCTTGGTCAGCTGGAGGGGTCCTTCAGGGTGGTGTGAAGGACCTGGCCGCCCCCAGGCGGAGCGCGAGGCTCATTGCTGGCCTAGGAGGGATGGACTGGCCATGTGTCTGCAGTGGTGCCGTGGACTCAACTGGCTGCCTCCCAGCACACAAGCACCCCTGGCCTTGCCCTTTGCTGGGGCTTTCAGCACACAAGCCAGAAGAGGGCTGGAAGGGATCACAGCAGCGTGTGGTGAGGCGTCAGTTCACAGGCAGATGGATCAATAATCTGTGGACAGGGTATTCAAACTGGGGCCTGAAGCAGCTCCAGCTTCATATTTAGGCATCTAAATAAGTGGCCTGACTTTCAAAATTGAGGCACCCAGCAACTGGCATTGGAGCCAATCAGTGTGCGGCACTGCTGGAGATTAGGCCATCTCTGGCCTCCTCTCACGTCCATCCCTGTCCTGACTATGCCCCAGGTCAGAGCACTCTGGCTTGGGCCTCCGGCCTCCTCTCACGTCCATCCCTGTCCTGACTATGCCCCAGGTCAGAGCACCCTGGCCTGGGCCTCTGGCCTCCTCTCACGTCCATCCCTGTCCTGACTATGCCCCAGGTCAGAGCACCCTGGCCTGGGCCTCTGGCCTCCTCTCACGTCCGTCCCTGTCCTGACTATGCCCCAGGCCAGAGCACTCTGGCTTGGGCCTCCGGCCTCCTCTCACATCCATCCCTGTCCTGACTATGCCCCAGGTCAGAGCACCCTGGCCTGGGCCTCTGGCCTCCTCTCACGTCCATCCGTGTCCTGACTATGCCCAAGGTCAGAGCACCCTGGCCTGGGCCTCTGGCCTCCTCTCACGTCCATCCCTGTCCTGACTATGCCCCAGGTCAGAGCACCCTGGCCTGGGCCTCCGGCCTCCTCTCACATCCATCTCTGTCCAGTTTGGCAAATGTCTTTTCAGGAGAGCCCGCAGGAAAGCCACCATTGTAGTTTATTGTTTCATTCTCCTTTGTGGCCAAGGGTTGGTTAGTTTCCCCCTGCTCCCTCCACAGTAGTAGAGCTAAAACCTTGCTGGGTCCTGACTAGGCAGCAGCTGCCGTTTCGTTACCCTTTCTCTGTGGTGGAGGCGGAGATATTAACCCAGCAGTGCTTAGAGCCGTAAGGGCTTTCTCCCGCAGGCTGCGATGAGACAGTGATAAATAATGTTCTTCAGGAGTAGTGCAGTGCGGTGCAGGACTGCTCTTCTCGCTGCCCCACCAATGCTGAGCCCTACATGGCCCAGCATGCAGTGCTCCAAACAGCCACCGGAGAGTCCTGCAGCTCTAACAGTCACTACTTCTTCATTACATAGCTATGGGGATTTCCAGGCCTACGGGCGCATAAGGAAAAACAGGACGTACATCTGCAAGCCAGACAGTGGCTGCCAAGGAAGGGGCATCTTCATAACCCGCAACCCAAAGGAGATTAAACACGGGGAGCACCTGATCTGCCAGCAGTACATATCCAAGGTAACGGGGCTCCCACTGTCCTGGAAAAAAGGTGTGAGCTTCTGGCCTCCCATGCCCTTCCCGTGTCCCGTGCCCCACTACTGCCAGCCTTCCACTGTGAAAGCTCAGCCAGCAGCATCGGGGTTGCAACCTCCCAGCAGGGCCATCGCCAGGCTGCCCTCAGCATTTCTCCTTCCCAGCTGAGCAGCTGAGAATGCAGAGCCTGAGCCATGCAGCCAGCAATGCAGCTAGCAATGCTATTGTATCTCACGGGCACTCCCCCCTTTTCTCTCACAGCCCTTCCTTATCGATGGCTTCAAATTTGACCTGCGTATCTACGTCCTGGTCACATCCTGTGACCCCCTGAAGATTTTTGTCTATGAGGAAGGGCTGGCTCGGTTTGCCACCATGAGGTACATCGAGCCCAGCAGCAGCAACCTGGTAAAGAAGGGACGTTTCCAAGCAACTGGCGTAGCGTCAATAGGATTAACACACACTCGTCCTAAGGGCACACAAACCACTGGGAAGTCAGGGCCTCGTTCTCTTCTTCTCCCTCCTCTGTTCTGCCTTTTCCCCCATTCCTTTTGCTCCATGTCAGGATGGTTATTTCAGGAGCTCCAGGATCCTCCAGGTGCGCAGCCCCCATTCCCTGCGGTCTGCTCTGCCCAGGCTTCAGGGGCTGAACAGGGAGCAGGGTGATTATCCCGATGGCCGGAGGCAAGATGGAGAATGGGGAGGGAAAGGGAGAAATAATATATGGAGATATCCCTATCTCATAGAGCTGGAAGGTCATCGAGTCCAGCCCCCTGCCTTCACTAGCAGGACCAAGTACTGATTTTGCCCCAAATTCCTAAGTGGCCCCCTCAAGGATTGAACTCACAACCCTGGGCTTAGCAGGCCAATGCTCAAACCACTGAGCTATCCCTCACGCCTCGTTGGGCTTTGTACCTTACACAGCAGCACCCAGAGGTGGAGTCCATCCAAACACCACTGGCAAGTGCTCATCCCGAGCTATTGCCTCGGCTGGGAAGAACTCTAGCTAATTTGTGCCGCATACCTAGAGCCCTGCGCGATACAAAATTTGTATCCGCATCCTATCCGCAAACATGGTCTGTGGATGTCTGCATGCATGGATGTGGATAGCCGTAGATATAAAGTGGATATCCGCAGATTTGCAGGGCTATGCACATACCTACCTACAGACACAGCCCCCTCCCTCTAGTAGCTTAGTGTCTCGGGGGGTGCTCTGTTTTGGGATGAATAAAGAAAAGGGGCAGATTCTCTTCTCTGCACCTCCTCTGCTGGGGGGGCAGCATGGGACAGACCCCAGTGGACACAGATCCAGTGTAGCCCACTCCTATCTCCCACTCCTCAGCACTGACATACGGGGTATGCAGAGGGCGGGGGGCATGGCTCTGGCTATCTCCAGGTGGCAGATGGTTCCTCAGAAGCCATTGCCAGGGGCTTAGATGACACCAGTCCCCACGCAGCTCTGATGTGTGCTGGGGTGGGCAATCGGAGAGCTGCGTCCAGGACCAGGTGGCTGATGCTGCACCAAGCAGATTTCAGCCACAGCAGGCTCTGGCCACGTGTTCATGGGTTTGTGCGGTTTTGATGCTGACCTGAAATCAGGCATCTCAGAGTGGCGGGGCGAAGAATTTAGGCCTGGGGTGAAGGAATGGCTTTGGGGAGGGGAGGAGGTGGTGGTGCTGGGGCAGAGGTGAGCGGCAGTTGCCGGATAGAAGGCTAAGCATTGCTGGACATCTGGGGCCTCTTGTCTCTCACTGGCACTCGGAGATTGAGTGTGAAGGTCTCTTGCTGTCCCTCTCTCAGGACGATATCTGCATGCACCTGACCAACTATGCTATCAACAAACATAATGAAAACTTCATCCGAGACGACATGATGGGCAGTAAGAGGTACCATCCTGCCTATGCCACCAGAGCCCCTCGTTCACTTCCTGCTGGGAGGCCATATTGATGGGGCTGGCATGCTTCCTTCATTGGGCAACATGCCATAGCAGCTCACCCCGTGTGAACGTTCTCTTTTAAAGTCACTTAGGTGGAGGTCACCCACTTCAGTGTCTTGGGCTCCTGGTCCAACTGTCTCTTTGCTTGTTAATTCTGAGCACAGAACTGTCCCCTCAGTGGGTCCTGTATCTGGGGTGCCTCTGGGGCTTGCTGGCTTTGTAAGAAGCAGCACCGGGGCTCAGTCCCCTGAGTTCCCCACGCCTTTCTGACCCATGGAGCCAGTGTGGTGACATTGCTTGCTACTGCTGCAGAACCACTTTGACTTGGACAGCTCTGATCACCGCCTTGTTCCCCAAACAGGAAACTGTCTACCTTGAATGCCTGGATGATGGACAACAGCTATGACACAACAGAACTCTGGGAAGACATTGAGGACATCATTATAAAGACCCTTATCTCAGCCCACCCTGTTCTGAAGCACAACTACCGCACCTGCTTCCCCAACCACATCACCGGCTGTGCCTGCTTTGAGATTCTGGGCTTTGACATCCTGCTAGACAGAAAGCTGAAGCCCTGGCTGCTGGAGGTGAGTGAAAACCCCGTCGGTGGCCTGGAACTCTCCCCCTTTGCACAGCAGATGGTTGAGGGCTTTTGTCGCCCAAGGAGAGAAGTAGAACTAAAGCCTGGGGCAAGTTGCAGACGGTTTTAGTTTGATTGATGCTGCCACCTGCAATCTCTGCAGCACTCCATTAAATGAGGAGCTCTGGAGGCAAATAGCCAAGTAATCTACACAAGGAAATGTCTTCCCCAAGTTCCTGGGGTAATAACGGGGACTCCCCTGAGTCACAGGGCTGCGTGGATCTCTGCAGCACCATTCAGAACCTGGGATGGCCTCCTCAGTGTCCTTGGCGGTCAGTGAGGGGCCAGGAAGTTATACCTGCAGCCTGGCTGATCTTTAGATGGCACTTTGTGCCAGGAAAGCAGCAACAGCAAACATCAGCCCCACCCAGCAGCAGGATGCTTACTGCTATGACCATGATAGGAAAGAGGGCAGCTGTAGGACAGGGGGCTGCCTGAGGGGAATGAAGGAACATGAGGTGGGGAAGGGTCTGAGGGCAGCAGCAGATTGTTCGAGCTGCACATGTGTATGTTAGACTAGCCATTTGTCTTGGCAGGTGAATCACTCTCCCAGTTTCACCACGGACTCGCGCTTGGACCGAGAGGTGAAGGACGCTTTGCTCTGTGACGCCATCAACCTGATAAACCTGCGAGCCTGTGACAAGAGGAAGGTGCTGGAAGAGGACAAGCGACGGGTGAAGGAGCGACTCTTCCAGGCCCACCAGCCACCTCGTGAAGCCAGGTGCTGCTCCCCCCAAGGAGGAGTGCTGCAGGCCTTTGGGGAGAAGAAGGGGGCACAGCAGGGAACAGAGTAACAAGCATGCGAGGCCAAAGGCTGCTTTGTGGCCGTTTGAAATCCCTCGGAGGCTGTGGCACTGTTGAGAACATTGTCACCTGTAAGGGGAGAGGGCCCAGGCTTTCAGCATCCCAGAGGAGAACCATGATTGAGGCTCCCTGCCTCTAGGACGTGTCTGATTACTCTAGACTCAGCCCCGTCCCGGGCTGCTTACTACCTCTCCCATTCAGTTGTGCCTGCTTTGGTCACAGGCCCTCCCTGGCCATCCTGGGGCACTGTACCCGGTGACACGTGGCCTTTTTCCCACAGAAGCTTTGAGACTCCAGCTTCTCCATAGGGTTGCCAACTCTGACTGAAGCTATTCCGGGAGATATTTCCCCCCCCCAACATGATGTAATGTCATTTTCTTAAAATATCCTATTAAAATCTCCCGGATTGCTTTCACTAGTCACCGGGAGATCGATGCCGATTCCGGGAGACTCCCGGCCAATCCTGGAGGGTTGGCAACCCTACTTCTCCACAAAGCAGCATTGCTTCCCTGCCCACTCATGCAGAAATGTCTACTCACGGCTAAAGCCAATGCCCAACGTTGAGGCCAGTTTGGATTGGCCGCCTCTTGAGGCAGGGTGGGCAGGAGCTCCCTCCCATGCACCAGTTTCAATTAATTACATCAGGTAACTAAAGCTTGGACCCGTGCTGTGCTCTGCTGCCCCTGGGTCCCGAGGTGCTAGAACTACGGGGCTGGGGGAGCTGCCGCACCCCTGGCTTGAAGTGGTTTCCATCATGTCCAGGGGTTACAGTTAGGTTCAAAGGCTCTCAGCCCCCCGCTGCGTGGGGCTGGGCTGCCCCCTCTCCCAGGCTGGAGTGCTCACAGCTGGATGAAAGCTGGCAGGCCCAGCTGAGACACCCAAGCTCTCGTGAACTGGTACTCTTGGCTGAGAAGGGTGGGGACGGTGAGAGGAGCTCTGAGCCTCCCTGCTTTGCCTGTACTGCCCAGCTGGAGGAGATACCGACCGGGAGGGTGCATTGGCTTGGTGCAGTGAATGCACGCTGGGGTTCCCAGATGGGGAGGGGAAGGGGAGAAAGGCCAGCTAGACACCTGGACAGGGCAGCATCTGGAACTTGTCCCACCCTGCTGCCTGTACAACAATCTCTAGGGATGTGTCTGCCATGGCTCCTCCTGCTTTCATCTTTGTTTTCGGATGGCAGACGTGAGCAGTTAGAGAACAGCCAGGCGGCCTGGCTGGCCCAAGCGGAGAAGTATGAGAACACGCACCTGGGAGGGTACCGGCGCATTTACCCCGCGCGCGAGACAGACAAGTATGAGCCATTCTTCAAGCACAGTGGCTCCCTCTTCCAGGAGACAGTGGCTTCCAAGGCAAGAGAGGAGTGTGCCAGGTACATTGCTCCTGTGGAAAAGCCCTCCTCGTTGGCTGCCATGGGGCAGAGAGTCTCTCTGCTGGGAACACCTGCTGCTGCCTGGGGTGGGGGTGGGGGGGAGCACCTAGGAGAGGAGCCCTGGCTCCATTGCCAGGGGATGGGGAAGGCACCGTGTCCTCCACATAACCTCTGTGCCCTGCCTCTGGATCTGAGAGGGAGACAGGCCAGAGTCCATTGTTTATGGATTCTGGAGGTGGTTTATAGAATGCATCCTGGTGCATCTGAGTAGGCCCGTCTCCACCCCATCTAGGTGGCACAACCTGGTGCAAAGGGCATTTCCTTTCGGGGGTGGTAACAGCTTTTAAAGACCCAGGGCCATTTCCCAGCACATTCGCCATCCCGGACCCTGCTCCTGATAGCAACCCTTGGCTGTGCTGTATGTCCCCTCCATTGGGGTCAGCACAGCTTGGCACAAGATCTCACACTGAGCGGCAGTGACCAAGACTGTTGGTTCTTGCCAGGCAGCAGCTGGAGGAAATTCGCTTGAAGCAAGAGCAACGAGAGGCTACTACTGGGAAGAAGAAAAAGGAGCGAAAGGAGAACCTGCAGGGAGAGTCAGCTGGGGAGAAATCCCGCATCCGCACCAAGGCCAAGGCTCCTCCCACTCGCCTCACCTACAACAGCGCCAGGACCTGCAACAGGAAGGTACCACTGCTCCATCCAGCATGCAGCTGCATGGGGCGGGTCAAATGGAGCCACCTGGCACCAGGAGGAGAGCTGGGGGCACTGACATCTCCCACACCAGCCAAGGATTGAGCTGGTTTGGATTGCTGCTGACCTGTGCTGGGAGTGCTGTGAACAGCCAGCCCATGGAAGTCTATGGCCCCCCACCCCTCTTACCCCCGACTGGAGTCTGTGGCCGGGGTCTCCTTCCTGCTCCACACTGGAACTTGTGGCCCAGGCCCTGTTCCTGACCCCAGCATAGTTTGTGGCCATAGTCACTCTCCTCCCTTTGTTAGTCTGTGGCCCAGCCCCCCAGACCATGCTGTAATTCGAGGTGTATTTCTGTCCTAAGATGCAGCAGATGGTGTTTGACTCCATGCGGCCCCAGGAGATAGTGGAAGATGAGGAAGTAGAGAGGATCAAGGCTCTTCTGCAGCGCGAAAACCTCATCCGGGGTCTGGGCATCGTGGATCAGCTCTCTCGGCTGCTCCACACAACTGAGCCCAGGCCTGTGGATGTCCACAGGCCCCACATCAATATCTCCGAGAGCCAGGTAAAGGTGGGCTGCGCCGAGGCACCTCCCAGGGCTAGTGCATAGGTGGTGTTCTTGGTGGTCCTGCACAGACAGGAGCTGGAGGAACTGAGGACGCTGGGCACTGCTGGCCTGGAGAAGTTCCTCTGGCCGGGTTAAATGAGAATGAGGGCTGGGGCTGGGTCCTTGGGTTGGCCTGTTTTTATGTTAATTTTTCCTGTGTTCAAAAGGGTCAAAAAGTGATTCCTCAGGGGCACCTCAACAGTCCAGAGGAGGGTCCTGGAGGCACTCATCTTACCGGCATCCCATGGAACAGAACAGAGGGGACTGCTCTCTTAATATGGAAGTCCCACAAGTCCCAGTGTGCATTACAGCCTGGTGTCCTGGCTCAAGGTTGAGCTGTGCATACTGGAACGTCTGGTCTCAGTGGCCTTGTCTTCACTAGGGAACACAGGTGTGTTCTTCACTTGAGTTAGCTAACAGGAGTGAATGCCTTGTGAAGAAGAGGAGCTGCTCTGCTGGAGAAGAAGGGGCTGTTGTTCTCGGCCAGCTCTACACTACAGAGTTTTGTCAGCACAGCTGTGTTGGTGAGGGATGTGAAAACACACACAGCCCACAGGCTCTGCTGGCAAAACCCCAGTGTAGCCACAGCTGTGCCCACAGACGAGCTCTTCTGCTGGCTTAGCTAGCGTCATTTGGGGAGGTGGCCTTTCTACAGGGGCCAAAAAATTCCTCCTGTTGGCATAGCTCGGCGGGCATGGCTGCATGGGCAGAGATGGGCTGTGTCGTGTAGACTAGCCCATGCAGTCACTCGTCAGACCTGCCCTGCCCTTGTGCTATATTCCAGTGACCAAGCGCAGATATGGTGAGAGGGTTCCATTCACAGTCCGCAGGGTGGCTACTATCACTGCCCACGTGAGCTCCTGGAAATGCCTGGAATGCCCCTTCCTCTGCAGTGAACACAATTACTTTAATCTGTCGGGAAAAAAACAAGTCTGGGGAAGCCAGATTCTCTGTCAGGGAAATGAGTATGATTTTCTGCTGCACTCCCTGTCCTAGTGCCAATATTCATACACCAATGAGCAGCCGCAAGAGAATGGGGACCTACAGTGCTGGGCCATTAGACATCCCATAGAGATCAGATCACCTTTAGATACGGGGGCTATTTCTCCAGGTCAGTGACAAGTTTATAGCTGAAGAAAGTGAACTCTGGAGTAGCTGTCTAGCAGCTGGGAGACCTATGCAAAGGGAGCCACCAGCCCTTTGACAAAGTGGGGCTGAAAGGAGCAACAAAGACTTGTCTAAAAATTGCACCCTGACAAATGCCCATCCCTGATCTCCTGGCATTCTGTGGGGCTGCATCTCCCAGGGAACGTGACAGCCGTCTGTAGCACGGATACTAATGGCACACACAGTGCGTGTCACGTAGCTTGAGTGCTTTAGAAACACGCACTGTGCTAAGGGTAATTAGTAAGGCCCTGTTCTCAGCGTAAAGCAGGTAACTCGGGGCTGAAAGAACGAGGAATCCTTGTGGCACCTTAGAGACTAACACATTTATTTGGGCATAAGCTTTCGTGGGCTAGAACCCACTTCAGCAGATGCATGGAGTGGAAAATATAGTAGGAAGATATATATGTAAAGAGAACATGAAAAAATTGGTGTTGCCATACCAACTCTAACGAGACAAATCAATTAAGGTGGGCTATTATCAGCGGGAGAAAAAAAACTTTTGTAGTGATAATCAGGATGGCCCATTTCCAACAGTTGACAAGAAGGTGTGAGTAACAGTAGGGGGAAAATTAGCATGGGGAAATAGGTTTTAGTTTGTGTAATGACCCATCCATTCCCAGTCTTTATTCAAGCCTAATTTAATGGTGTCTAGTTTGCAAATTAATTTCAGTTCTGCAGTTTCTCGCTGGAGTCTGTTTTTGAAGTTTTTTTGTTGAAGAATTGCGACTTTTAGGTCTGTAATTGAGTGCCCAGGGAGGTTGAAGTGTTCTCCAACTGGTTTTTGAATGTTATAATTTTTGACGTCTGATTTGTGTCCATTTATTCTTTTGCGTAGAGACTGTCTGGTTTGGCCAATGTCCATGGCAGAGGGGCATTGCTGGCACATGATGGCATAGATCACATTGGTAGATGTGCAGGTGAATGAGCCCCGGATGGCGTGGCTGATGTGATTAGGTCCTATGATGGTGTCCCCTGAATAGATATGTGGACAGAGTTGGCATCGGGCTTTGTTGCAAGAATAGGTTCCTGGGTTAGTGTTTTTGTTGTGTGGGCTTCTGCCTGCAAAGCTACTGGCCCACTCTGGATGGGTGTGTCACAGTATCAAGCCCAGAGCTATGCTGCCATATCCAGTGCACTCCCTGGACTCCCGTGTGTCAGCAGACAGTGCTGTGGCAGAACACTGGGCACTTCAAATGGCTGCTTCAGTGGAATCCGGAACCGGGGAACATCCGAGTGAGATGAGAGGCTTGTTGGGTTTTCTTGGGCCGGCTGGTGGCTTCCTAGTCAATTCCTGAACACGCAACATGCTATGCAGCTGCAGAGATCCTTGGTCCAAAATCCAGGAGGGAGTGAAGCCAGTAGTCTGCTAGTCACTGTCTCCGTTAGTCATGATGGCTGTAAAGGGCCGTGGGGCTTGGCTGTTACCTGCCATGCTGGAGACTCAACATCCGTTCTTGTGCCAGTGATGAGTGAGAAATTTCTCGGGGCTCAGCATCACCTCCTCTGGCAGTGACAGGCGCATCCTGTCCAGTCCTTTGCTGGCAGGGTAGAGACACATGTCAGAAAGGAGGGTGATACATTAGAAAGGGTTCACAAAAGAGCAACAAGGGTAGTTTGAGGTCTGGAAAACCTGCCTTATGGTGAGAGACCAAAGAAGCGCAATCCATTTAGCGTAACCAATCGAAGGTTGATCACTGTCTTGAAATATCTACGTGGAACAAAGATTTCTGAGTAAAGAGCTTTTTAATCTTGCAGACTAATGCAGAACAAGTTGTAGTGGCTGGAAGCTGAAGTGAGACAAATTCAGATTAGAAATCAGATATAATTTTTTTAATAGTCAGGCTGTTTAACCACTGGAGCAAATTACCAAGGGACATGGTGGATTCTCCATCTTTTGGTGTCTTGAAATCCAGGGTGGGTGTGACTGTGTAACAGAGCCACTCTAGCTGAGCCAGAAGTGTTGGGCTGCAGGCAACAATCGCTGGGTACGGTTCTCTGGTCTGTGTTGTACAGGAGGTCAGACCAGAGAATCACAATGGTCCCTTCTGGCCTCAGAATCTCTGACTGCAAGTGTGGGGTGTAAATGGGGTGAAAACGCAGGGAGGATTCTCAGGGGTGTAACAGTAACAGGTTAAATAGGGGGGTTGGGAAGAAATTTCCCCCTGGTCAGATTGGCAGAGTCCTTGGAGGTTTTTCATCTTCCTCTGCAGCATGGGGCACGGGGCACTTGCAGGTTTAAACTAGTGGAAATGGTGGATTCTCTGTGACTTGAACTCATGATTTGAGGAATTCAGTGACTCAGCCAGAGGTTCGGGGTCTGTTACCAGAGTGTGTGGGGGAGGTTCTGTGGCCTGTGATGTGCAGGCAGCAGGGTGGTCCCTTGTGTTCTGACCTTAAAGTCTATGAGGAGGACAGCCCTTCTCCGCTCCCTAACCATGCCCCCCAGGAATTAAAACATATGTCGCTGCTCTTCTTTTCTTCCAGCCGCGATTCCTTCAGGACGTGTTTGGGAACCGGGAGACACAGGGTTCAATGACCCTCGTCCCCCTCTCACTCCTGGGAAGCACAGTCCGGGAGTTAGGACAGCAGATCATGCAGCAGCCTGCGGCCAGGGCCCGGATGCTGGGCAACCAGGGCTTCATTCCCACCCTCCTGGGTACCCTGTCAGGCATGGGCCAGAGCATCCCCTACCGTGCACAGTATAAGCCACAGCATGGCCTGCAGCCGCAGAAGAACATGAGCTGGTTAGGAAGCCACACTCTGGGGACACCGATGGTCACCGAGCCCTGTGCTCTGGTAAAGATACTGAACGAGGGAGGCCGGAGATTCTCCAGCGCCAGAAACAAGGTCGAAAGCCGTGAGTACAGAATCGGGGCCTGGCATACTGCTGGTGTCAGTTCTAAAGCATCCTCTCGTTTGGGAGACATAACCCAGCTCTGAGTTGCCTTCCAGGCATCTATGGCTCTCCTGTTCCCCCCATTGGTATGGTTTGGTTAGCAGGCGACCTTCCCTCGCCTGACTGGATTCCCAGGGCATTCTCCTCTGGCACAGCTGGTGACATGGTAGAAGTATTCCATCTTACTCGATCCAGCGCGGAGACTCTCAGAGCCCTGGGATGCCATCAGTCTCTAGTCTCAGTCAGGGAGTAGGCAGGGAAATCAAGCTCAGAATCAACGGAGACCCATAGAGGGTGAGTCTGTGCTGGACTCTAAGGGCTGGAAGCCAGTGGAGATCTCTGTCCCTGGGGAGATGTGTTCTCCTCCCCTGCACCTGCACATGGGACCAGCTGCTGCATTGGGCATGCTGGAGCTAAGGCAAAGTGAGCAGGGTGTAAGTTCAATAGTGCTTGGGAGGTGGGGCAGGAGCAGGCAGTGGCTGCAATAATGTCTGAGGAGAGCAGTTGTTTTAGAAAGGGGAGTGGACTGGGGGTGCCATAATGCCCCTTTAGACAGCTATGGCCCAAGAGTGTCTTAGGGGGTCCCAGTGAGTGACATGGCTCCAGGGTATCAGTCAATAACCCTATGTATTCCCAACCAGGCTCCTGAAGGAGTGCCACTACTGGGGGCCCTGCGCCCTAGGAGGGGGTTGCACAGACACTGTCACCTGCAGGGGGACAAACTCACCAACAGTAACTCTAGTTCTCCCACTGTCCCCTCCTCAGAGCCACACTGCCCTTCCTGCACCCTGCTGCGGTCAGGGCTTTTGGCAGAAAAGAGGAGTTGAGGGGCAGGGTATTTATCCCCTCAGTCTTTGGAGCACTGCCCCAGCTTCCAGCCAGGGCCTTAACGTGTGGCCATGTAGCCAGGCATGCTCAAGGCAAACACCAAGGGGCATCTTTGGTGTTCCTCCTGGGATGCTCCAGGCCTGCATTGTGTCCCTCCTGTGCTCTCGTTTCAGGTGCCCATGCCCCCAGGCGGCCCCTCCATATGGCCAGTGGTTACGCCGACTCTCTGACATACCTGGCTCATGCTGGCAAGGCTCCAAATCGCACGTATAGTGACTGCACCTTCCCCTCAGTGACAGACTCCCTCAACCGTGCTGCAGTCCATGAGCTAGCCATCAACTCTGCCTCTGCTCCCATCGTCCAGCGCTCAGACACCTCACACCGCGCCAATGCCATGTCCATTCTCCACTTCAACCACCACAGGTAACGGCCCTGCCTTCAGCTGGCTTCCAGCGAGCTCCTCACCACTAGTGCTCACTGAGGAGCTCGTGTCCCCAGAGGAGGATGTTTGCCCTGTTATCCTGGCCAGATTCCAGCTGGAGTACGTTATTCTTCACCTCCCCACCCCTCCTAACAAACTCCTCTTGTGGAGTAGTGTGTTCTGTTAACAGCAGATATGTCCCACCCCAGGGATGGCTGCATTTCAGAGCCACGGGAGCTTAGGCCAGCCCTGTATAAACACTGTAAAATGACTGGAGACCATCGGGAATGAAATCTAAATGAACAGCTGGTGTTTTCGCCCATTGGAGCCATCTCTCCAGGCCCTGGCTTCGTTCTCCACGGGTTGCATTACTTGCAATGAGCAATGCTGTAAATCTGCTGAGAGCTCTTCCCCATTGTCCCATTCCTGATTCAGCAGAGAAAAGCTCCTTACCCCTCTGTCACCTTGGAACATCCCTCTTTGCAATGCGGGTCCTGTGCCATGCAGGAGCAACTCCACAGACTCCTTTACCAAGCTCTTCCCAAATGGGCTCTAACTTGGCCTTACTAGATTGTAAACTCTTTAGGGTGGGGGCTGTCACTATGTTTGTGCGGTGCCCAGCACCACAGGGGGCTGGCCTCTAGGCACTGGTAAATAATGGTAATCCACGCTCCCGTAATGCTGCTGGCCTACAGCTGCCCGAGCTGCTGTCTCGGGGCAGTTTGCATTGGAAGGGACTGCCCATGGGATTTGATTGGCTTGATGAGTGGGAGGTCAAGCCACATGTCTAAACCCAGTTTTGCTTGTTCATATCTGACTGTACAAAGGAAGCTAACCTGGGGTCACCATGCAACCTGCCGGAGTGAGGACACCAGCTAGGGCTAAATTGATATGAAACGAGAGGTGAATTGCCGCTCACCGTTGCCCATGGGCCCTGCCCTCAGGAGCTGGGATAGAATTCTGTCCTCACCCAGAATGTCTCAGTTTAACCCTTATTTACCATTTGAAAGAAGAAGGTTTCCATCTCTTGGGGTTTCCCGTGAAGCTGGATGGGGGAAGCATTTGCCAAAGGGTCTGGCGAATGTTCAGAAACTAGGGCTGAGCAAACGGATTTTGTGAGAGTGCCCCAGGTTTGGGTAATTGGTGGGTATCCTGCCCTTTGCTCCCACTACAAGCCACACGGGAGCATTCTCCACCACAATTTGTCTGCACTCAGGTATGAACAGAATCCCAGCATCCCCTCTGCCTGCAGCGCCCACTGGGCTGCACCAATAAGCTTGCAGAGGGCCATAGGCTTAGCTGCTGGAACCTGTTTTTGCTCTGTAGTTTCCTCTCTCCCCAGCCCGGTTCACCTGAGCTGTGGAGCGGGAGAAGCATATTGATCCTTTGCTCCCCAGCTCTCTGGCTTCTCCAATCTGATCTGTTTGTGTCCCCCAAGCAAACCCAGACCTTCTCTCATCAGTGATCACTTGCTTATCCCACAGGAAATGGACCTGAACCTTGGCCAAACAGTCTCTGGGGAAGAAAGGGACCAACGGCCTTGGGAATCCTGCAGCCAAAGGAGATGGCTATGCCAAAAGACTTGCTTTCTTCTGCGTGGAAGGGAGAAAAACCTCCAAGGGGCCAGGCAGATGAGGGGGAGACAGTGACCCCAGGCCTGCTGCGGTGACCTGGCGGCTAGCGATGAGGACGCCGGCGTCCGCTGCAGATGAGGAGCCCTCTCAGTGAGGGCTGAGCACTTCAGACACCATTTAGTGAGCGCTCCAGAGTCACGTCTCCACTGGACAGAGCTGTTTTCAAACAATGCTGTGCAAGGGATTTTGTTAATAGTATTCGGCACCATCCTCTCCAGCCGACTTCGTCCTGTAGCTGGGATCCCCAGCCTGTAACTGCAGCCTCTCCCCCACACCTACTGATCAGCACTGCAACAGCAGGGCAGGGCTTGTCTCCTTCAGGGCTGCAAGAGTTTGTTCTTTTGTATCTGTCTTATTAAAGTTTTATACGGTTTTACAATTCCCCATCCATCTGTCCTTCAGCATTGCAGCAGATGGGGACTGGTTTTCCCTAGGAAGCCCTGGCTCTGATTCCTCCTTCATGGGCCTAGACCCCACTGGCTGCTGCTGGCTGGGCTGCCCTCCACATACCTTAGCAAAGGGACCTGCTGGCCTATATGTTGTTTAGGGCTCTCTGTGGTGCCTAGCTGCAGGAAGTAGCATATGAGGATCAAAACAAAGCAGTTGCTTGCTTGTTCTCCTCACCCCTTTCATTCCCTCCCTGGGCCGAGGGGCTGAGTGAGCACAAAGCAACAGCCACGCAGTGAGTTCACAGGGACTGACAAATATCAGACTGGCTCAGACCCACAATCCAGCTAGTCCAGGATCCTGTTTCCAAGAGTGACTAGTACCAGATGCCTGAGAAGATGAAGAACCCCACAGGAGGCAGATGTAGGGTAATCTGCCCCATCTAGGTTTTAGTCTAATCCCTGGTCATTAAAGGTTGTTTTAAACTATGAAGCACAAGGTTTAATTTCCCTGCCAAAATACTTGTTAATGATAATGGGATATTCTGATCAGTGGTTGTATGAAAAGTGTTTCCTTTGATTGGGTTTGAACTGCCCACCCTGCAATGTCACCAAGTGTCCCCTTTTTGTGTTATGAGATGGGGAGACCAGATGCTCTCGATCTCCCTGCTCTAAACCAGTCCCTACTTTATAGACTTTTATCACGTCCCCTTTTATTGGTCTCCTCTCTAGGGCAAGAATCTGTCTTCACAGGAGAATTTCTCCAGGCCCCTAACTGATCCTGTGACACTTCTGGGAGCCCCACTAGTTCTGCTAGTTCCCTGCTGACGGGGGTGGGGGGGACCCCTGCTGGCACAGGATCCAAGTGAGGCTGCCCTGTTAGTTTGTACAATGGCACCTAATATTTCGTATGCTCTTTGCTTGCACCTGCACACTGAGCCCACCTGTCCACAGTGACACCTGGGTCCCCTTCCCCATAGGCCACCTTCATGGTATTTCTCCTCGCTCGCAACACCCTGCCCCCTCTCATAGCACCCTCCATCTCCCCTGCAGCGCTCTACCCCAGCAACCCCACATCTCTGCTGCAATGCCATGCCCCAGCACCCCCAGATCTCCCCCAGCATCCCCACATCTCCCCTGCAGCGCCCCCAGATCTCCCCCAGCACCCCCAGATCTCCCCTGCAGTGCCCTGCCCTAGCACCCCCACATCTCTCCTGCAGCGCCCCACATCTCCCCTGCAATGCCCTGCCCCAGCACCCCCAGATCTCC